GACAGCTAACAACAGTAAACTGTCTCTAAGTCAAAGGCGATTTACTAGTTAAGGGAGCGGTAACTAACAACAACCACAGACTGTTTCTAAGTCAAAGGCAATTTAACTAGTTAAGGGACCTGTAACTAACAACCACAGACTGTTTCTAAGTCAAAGGCAGTCTAAGGTTTATTGTTGTGAGCCTTCAAGTCTGACTCATCGTGACCCTGTAGGGCAGAGTAGAACTGCCCCATAAGGTTTCCAAGGCTGTAAATCTTTACGGAAGCAGACTGCCACATTTTTCTCCCACGGAGTGGCTGTTGGGTTTGGACTGCCCACCTTTTGGTTAGCAGCCAAGCACTTTAACCTCTGCTCCACCAAGGCTCCTTTTACTAGAGTTTAGGGACCACAATATCAAGTAAGAAATGAATAACTAACTCTACTAGATGGTAACAACAGCAACGACAGACTGTTTCTAGTCAAAGGCAGTTTACTAGAGTTTAGGGACCACAGTATCAGATAAGTAAGAAATGAGTAACAAATGCTGCAGTCACATCCTTAACCTTTTTCTCCTACAGTTTTTCCCTCCAGTCCCTCAAGCCCATCTTTCCCACGTATTCTTATTAGTCCGTTCCTTGAGTCTGCGTTAGTTTCCTGAAAGCAGAGAGAAGCTGAGCATGATGCCGGTTCAGTAAAATGATGCTCTGCTCCCCTTTTTGTTCTTGAAGTGCTGCCTCCTGCTGTTCTGGCCTTAAATCTGCCAGTCACTAACTCTTTGATTCCTTTTTCGTGTCTTGAAACCCACTTAATAAATTTTTCATCTGTAACTCAGTCTCTGCTGTACCTTGAGCTTTGTGTAGGTGTGTTTCCAGACTCACTGTTGAGCCGTCAGTTCGGAGGGGGCAGTGCCTTGTGCCACAGGCAGGCCTTCTTTGTGCTTATGTACTCCTGTTAAACAGGTGTTTTAAGGTTCCTTCTTTTTCCTTTTGTTATTCTAAGAGCAATTAGTAAGTTTTATATTCAAGAGCTTAGATTTCTCTCTTTCCCTCACATATGTGTTGTAATAGAGTAGAAAAGATGGATCTTGCATACCCCGGGGGGTTTGGCATATCTGATTGGCAGCTTTATCATCAGTGCCAAGAGGAGAACTACTTTATATTCAGCCTTGAAGGTGAGGTCCAGGCAGGCGCTGTGCAATACCATAGCCACGAGCCACAATGGCTTTTGAGCACTTGCAGTGTAGTTAGTCCAAACTGAGATGTGCTATAAATATAAAATACATGATGGATTTCAAAGACCTAGTATTAAAAAAAGGTGAAATATTATAATTTTTACATTGACTATACTTTGAAATAATATTTTGGATATATTGGGCTAAATAAAATGTATTACTGAAATTAAATCCACTTGTTTCTTTTTAATTTTTACAATATGATAACTGGCAAATTCAAAATTACTTTTGTCTCACATTAAATTTCTGTTGGGTGGTGCTGTTCTCAAAATTATAATGGTGTCTGCAAATCTATCTAATTTGACACGTAAGCTCTTGTTATTACCATTCACTGGAGGTAGTAGTTGAACAGTTTGCCCATAATTTCATTGGCCAAATTCTTTTTTTTAACTATTATATTTTTATTAAGGCAGTTTTTAAAAATCAAATGGTTCCATAAAAGTTACAATTTAAAAGCGTAGTCTTCGCCTTACCCCAGTTTGCCCCCAATTCTCAGTCTCCAGAGGGCAAACACTTGCCACTTTTATATCTGTTTCTTCTGGTTTTTGCTCTCTTTTTTCTAAATGGCATGCTTGTCTTAGTTTACTAGGGCATCCATAACAAAATACCACGAAGAGGGTGGCCTTAAAAAACAGAAATTTATTTTCTCACAGTTCTGGAGGTGAGAAGTTTGAATTCAGGCCTATTCAGGGCTATGCTCTTCCTCAGGGCTATGTGGCCCAATTCTTTTAAGAAGCATGAGGGCTGGGAAACCCTCTAATACTGTCCGCTTTGCCAAGTGCTTAGAGACGGAGATACAGTTACTTAATGATTTAGTTGAAAATCACAATATTGCATCATTTTATGGGTTCTTGTTTTGATGTTGAGTCACTTCCGCAAAGTTTTTGCACTTTTACTGTGTACCAAATCCTTTTTTTTCTTCTAAATTTTATTTAGTTGTCGAGAATATACACAGCAAAACATAACACCAGTTCAACGGTTACTACATGTACAATTCAGTGACATTGATTACATTCCTTAAGTTGTGCAACGATTCTCCACCTCCTTTTTTGAGTTGTTCCTCCTCCATTAACATAAACTCACTGCCCCCTAAGTTTCCTATCTAATCTTGCAAGTTGCTGTTGTCAGTTTGATCCCATATAGATAGTTCTTAAAAAGAGCATAATGCTTGAGGCAGAGCTTTTTTAGTAGTTAAGCTAAACTATTGTTCTCTTTCAAGATGACTTCAGGGGATATTTTTGGTTTAAGGTTTAAAGATTATCTCAGGGCAGTAGTTTCAGGGGTCATCCACCCTCCATGGCTTCCAAAGTCTAGAGTTCATGAGACTTTGAAATTCTGTTCTGCATTTTCTCCCTTTTGATCAGGATTCTTGTATGGAATCCTTGATCAAAATGTTCAGTAATGGTAACCGGGCACCATCTGTTCTTCTGGTCTCATGGCAAGGGAGACAGTTGTTCTTGGAGGCAGTTAGCCACACATTCCATATTCTCCTCCTATTCCTCACTTTTCTTCTTCCTCTGTTACTCCAGGTGAATAAAAACCAATTGTTGTGCCTTGGATGGCCACTTGCAAGCTTTTAAGATCCCATGCACTATGCAACAAACTAGGAGGTAGAACAGAAGCACTTAACATGTTATTAGGTCAGTTAACTGGGCTGTCCCATGAAACCATGACCCTCAACCTCCAAACCAAGGAGCCAAATCCCACGAGGTGTTTGGTTGTACATAAGCAGCCTCAGCAGTTACTCTTTTTTTTTTATTTGTCACTGTTGTAAATATATCGATCACATAACTTTTGCCAATTCAACTTTTACAGGTGTACAACTTATTGACAGCAATTATAGTAAACGGCTCTGCAACCCTACCCTTAATGTGATTTTTCTCTCACCGTTAACCCCTTTTCCCCCACTTCTTGCCCCTGGTAACTACTAATAAACTTTGTTCTCTATACATTTGTCTTTTCTTGTCTTTTTATATAAGTGAAGTCATACAATATTTGTCCTTTTATGATTGGCTTATTTCACTCAGCATAATGTTTTTAAACTCCATCCATACTGTACCATGTATCAAGACTTCATTTCTCCTACTGGCTGAGTAGTACTCCGTCGTATGTATGTACGACATTTTGTTTATCCATTCGTCTGTTGATGGGCAGTTAGGTCGTTTCCACCTTTTGGCTGTTATGAACAGTGCTGCAGTGAACATTGGTGTACAAGTCTCTTTTTGAGTCTGCTTTCCGGTCTTTTGGATGTATACCTAGGAGTGGGATTGCTGTGTCACATGCCAAATACATTTTTTTTTTAATTGTACTTTAGGTGAAGATTTACAGAACAAATAGTTTCTCATCAAGCAGTCAGTACACACACTGTTCCATGACAGTAGTCAACAAATTTACAATCTGCACCATCTTTCCTGTCCCCTTCTGCCTTCTAGTCCTTGTCCCTGGACGGCTGTGCCTCATTAGTCCCATTTTGTTTTATGGGGCTGTCCCATCCCCGGCTGAACGGTGAACCTTGGAAGTGGCTTCACCACTGAGCTAAAAGGGTGTCCGGGGGCCATACTCTTGGGGTTTCCCCAGTCTCTTTGAGGCCAGTAAATCTGGTCTGTTTTTTGTGTGTTAGAATTTTGTTCTACATCCTTGTCCAGCTCTGCCCAGAACCCTCTGTTGTGATCCCCGTCAGAGCAGTCAGTGGTGGTAGCCGGACACCATCTAGCTGTACTGGACTCAGTCTGGTGGAGGCCTTGGTAGCTGTGGTCCATTAGTCTGCCAAATACTTTTTTAGGTCATTTGTATGCAAAGACAGATCAAATGTCATCCCTGACCATGAGGAACTTAGTCACAGCAAGATATGCAGACAAGACAGCATGAGTTTGATTCATCACTCAGTAATAGAAGGTTACACAGTAGCCGGCGTGGCCCCTGGCAGGGAGAGAGAGGCCAGGAAGCTTAGTCCAAAGAGACCCCCAGGGAGGTGATGCTGCTGCTTATATTCTTGTAGAGTCATTGCCTGTGTCCCCTGGGAACGCACTGCGTGTAGCTGTAGAGTATGGGGCTTGGTTGTATGAACAGCCTGTTTGTGGGAGGCTGAGGCATGACTGGGGCAGCTCCCATCCAGGGATCTCACGCTCATTTCAGCTGGGGTATGAGATGTTTTTAAAGCAGCCCTAAGCCGGCCTGTCAGCTTACTTTGAAAGTCTGCTGCGAAGGTGAGAGTTACTTCACCAACCTTGTTTTTACTCAGGAGTGAAGAAAAGATGTAAATGTTCATCCATTTTATTTGGACCAGCTTTTTCCAGTCTTTTCTGTATAGACGGAAATATTAATGTGAGTGAAATTGAAAGAGGAACAAAAAAGTAGAATAACTCGCCTTTTGTTGGTGGAAATACGCGTCAGTTTGGAAAGCTACCGGAGTGTTGTGTCAGTGTTTTGAGTGGCTGCAGCCGACAGGAGCTCAGGTTACACTGCGCCTGCTGTGTTCCCGGGTGGGGAGTAGCAAGTGACACAGCATACAGCCGACACTTACATAACCATGACTTTAGGGGACAGGACTACGCTGTGAAGGAACCACCCAAACCCAGGTGTATGATATTACAACAAAGCCTGTGAATTTTTCTCGCAAGCTTGACTTGAAAATCATCTTCGGAAACAGCATTCTCTAAAACCAGACTTCCCATTAGTCTCAGAACTTCTTTCCCTTTGCCTTCCGCGATTAAGTTCACAGGTACAAAACATTTAGAATTAAAAGGAGCTCAGAAGTCTCAGAGTGCAGCTGTCTGCAGGTAAGTCATTTAACCTGCCTGGTGCAGCATTTCCTCAAGGTCAACCGGTAGGGCCGAGTTGAAGCCTCTGTTTCCAGACACCCAGTCCTATTTCTGGGGGCTCAGTGTTAAACCCCCTCCTGGCAGATTAAATTCACTGCAAATTCTTCAACCCTGCTTTGCTTCCCATCAGAATTTCAAGATCGCTGTAAATAAAGGAGTATTTTCATTTTGCCTATGGGGTGAAGTGGACTAGAAAGGGACCAGGTGAAGCATAGATCTGTGATTTGTGTAGGGCAGTACAATGCCACTTGCTCGGGAGAGTGCCAGGAGATGCTGAACTTGTTAGAAGCTGATCTTATCAGATTTGGGCTCTGTCTTCACTGATGGCAGAGAACTCTTCCTTTGGCAAAGTTAGAGCCACGATCACTTTGCTTTTGCTTTTGAATCCTTGTCCTTTGGCTTATGGAGTGTGGATTTGAAATCCAGAACGGGGAACTGCTTGCTTCGAGGAACCTTTAGTTTCTGTAGATTGCTTTAGCTTTTTTTTAGAGTTTCAGGGGTTGGGGAGAAGGGCAAGGCTGGATTTTACTAAAATAACTTCTGTAATAAACCTTTTTTCTATTACGGGAATTTCAAACATATAAGTAGAGAGGTGTACAGTGAACCCCTAAGTACATCACTCCGCTTGAACAATTATCAACCCATGATCAATCTTGTCTTACATAAATTTTATTAAGCTGTCGTGAAACCTGTGTTTTTTAAAACATATTTTTTGCCCTTGCTAGTAAAATAACTTTTGCTTTTGAGAGAATATAGTACTTTATTTATTATTCATATTATTATACTTTTTTTGGTATGAAGCATTTCTATTTCATAGGCTTTTTCTAAAATTAATTTTTTGAGCACTTAGCCCAGATGATTCCAAAGTTCTCTGCAAAGTTTTTATCTCTTTGTCTACCATATTAGGGAAGATAAGCTAGCTACTGTAACAAATAACTCTGCCCCCCCATCCTCCACCAATTTTAGTGGCTTAAACCGATAAAAGCTTATTTTCAGTTATGGAGAAGTCCAGGGCAGGTATTTCCTGACGGGGGAGTCCCCCCTAAGAGGTGATTCAGCGATGCAGGCTCATTCCGCCTGTGACTCCACCATGTGTAACACGCTGTCAAGGTTGCCAGGCCCATCTTGTCAATGAAGTGGAAGGGCAAAGAGTCCGGAGGATCTCACATGGAGGTTTGTATGGAGCCGGCCTAGAAGTGGCACACACCCCACATGCTTCTCTCATTCCATTGGCTAGTGCTCGGCCACGTGGTCACACTAAGCTGCAAGGAGCTGGGAGACTTGGTGTAACTGTGATCCAGGAAGAGGAGCAAATGGGTTTGGCGAGCATGTAGCCCCTCTCTGCATTTCCACTCTGGTTCTGATGTTGCTGGGCTGCATTTTCGTGCCTGTGTAGAAAGGAAGACAAGAGTGTTTCCTTACTCTCCTGGTTGCAACCACTTTACTGTGGCTCAAAAATCATTAATTTTTTGTTTCCAGCTTATGAAATTATACCCGTTCATTAAATACACTTTGAGAAGCTCAAGAAAACACAAAGAAGCTATAAAAATTACCCATAACCTCATCATCTGGAGATTACTATTATTAATCCTTTGTTAGATTTCTTTCCAATTTAAGGATCAGTTTTAACCACTTAGAAATAATAATAAAATTTCACTTCTTACTCTCTTCTGGCTTTCAAACTCCAAAACTGGTAAGAAGGGGGGAAACATCACTATCACCAACAACTTGGCAGTTTTGCCTTATCTTAGCAAAGATATACTATTCCAGAGGTGCCATGAGGCCTTGCACTTTTGACATTTTCAAAATGAACTTTTTTGCTTACGTGTCTTAATCTTCACTTCTCTTGGTAAGTGGAAGTGTAAGTATTGGATGCTGGTGACGTTAGCAATATGTAGCGTGGCAAGGGTCATTAAGGTGAGGGTAAAAATTTAAGTTTATGATTTACTTCCTACCCAGTGTCCAGAATTGTAATATATAGCTTAACTTTCCAGGAGAGAATACTAGGAAAAGCTGTGTGAAACCAAACCAAAATAAGGCCTTGTAAACTTGAAACCCATTTGAATACACTCCCTGCCTTGAGCTGAAGACATAGGTGGGTGTGCTCTTCTCTATTTACCCACCTGCATTGCTTATGCTGGTCAGCAGTGGAGGAAAGGCTGCTAATCTTAAGTGGGAGGACATTTTCTTGGGAGAAGGTGCACCCTTTAATCATCAGCTCCAGACTCGGGGAGTCAGAGCCCTCTGGTTTTCCCTTAAAGTGGTGAGGATGGAGCCGAGAGGCGAACCAACATCAGAATTCTCATTTGTGATGTCACCAGAGTTCTCGTTTGTGATGTCCTTATCATGACCTCACGGCCAGGTTTGCTCAAAATGTTTGCCCAAGCTTCTGTCAGAACTTGGGCTTCTGAGGCCTGGCCTGATTCCACAGACATCATGAGGTATCGGTTTCTCTTCTTTTGGTAGATCTTGGTTGACTTTTCCATGGCTTTCTATTACATTAAGCCACTCTGTTTTACTGCAAAACATTGTGTAATAATAAGAAAAGCGTTTCTTAAATATCCTCTGGCAGGATGTTTAAAAGTAGAAAACTCAATAGTAATAGCGGAAGCACAGAAGTATTTCTGCCGTGCGGGCGGGTGTGTGGTTTTTCAGTGCCTCTGTTTGCTGTGTAATTTGCTATCATGTTTCCCTCCTCTGAAAGTAAACATACCGTTTTTGTTCTGTAAATATCTATCAACAGCACTGGACAAGCAAACATTTGAAATACTTAGACTTGGTTATCTGTGGAGTAGATTATTTATGACCCAGAGGCCTAAATCCAGACACATCACAATTGAGAAGTTGGCACCACTTAGTTTTGAATATATTACTTTGCTCTTTGTACCTGTTTTAGTTGGAGCTGGGAAAAAACGTGTAGGTTCCTACAAGTATCCAGCAATCTAGTCACTGATGGTTAATACAGTTTTCTTAAGGCTTGTCCTCCTACAAAGAAACAACCAGCCACCTTTCAGAACCCTGTGTTCCTGTGTGCTGGGTGCTTACAGATGACAAATTGTCCCCTCTCTTCTTTTATTTAAGTAACACAAGTAGATATTAGACCCTTCTTCTAAGTTTGGTTCTGTGAGCTTAAATCGAGAGATTACGTGGCAAAAAATTTTTTTTTGTTATTGCTTTTTCCTCCACAAAGCATGTCATTATCAGAGAGCTTAAGCTTCCTGTTTTCTAAAGTAGACTGCTTTTTTTTTTCAAAAGATATTTTTCTTGTTGAGAATATACACAGCAGAACATACACCAATTCAACTGTTTCTTGTACAATTCAGTGACATTGATTACATTCTTGTAATTCCACAACCATTCTCACCCTCCTTTTCTGAGTTGTTCTTCTCCATTAACATAAACTCACTACCCCCTAAGTCTCCTATCTGATCTTTCAAGTTGCTGTTGTCAGTTTGATCCCATATAGACAGATCTTAAAAGACCACAATGTTCAAGGCAGACATTCTTTACTAGTTAAGCTAAACTATCGGTTTGGTTTTAAGAAGACTTCAGGGGGTAGTTTTGGTTTAAGGTTTAAAGATTATCTCAGGGCAACAGTTTAATCAGGAGTTTATCCAGCCTCATGGCTCCAGGAAGTCTGGAGTTAATAAGAGTTTGAAATTCTGTTCTGCATTTTCTCCCTTTTGATCAGGATTTTTCTATAGAATCTTTGGTCAAAATGTTCAGTAATGGTAGCCTGGCACCATCCAGTTATTCTGGTCTCATGACAAAGGAGGGAGTTGTTCATGGAGGCAATGACCAGCACATTTAGACTGCTCTTTTTAAAGCCTTGTCCTGTGTATTTCCTGTTTTTCCCCTGTCACAGCCACATGTCCCTATTTTCTTAAACATGTAGGACCTAGTATATTTACTTTCCTTAAGACTAGGAGCCCCTTATGGGTCCAGTAGGTATGTTCAGGAGTCACTCACTGGCATAAATGGTGTCATGGTTTGCATTATGTCCCCCCAAAAATGTGTGTATCAATTTGGCTAGGCCAAGATTCCTGGTACTGTGTGATTTTCCTGTATGTTGTAAACCTGCCTCTATGATGTTAATGAGGGAGGATGGATGGCAGTTGTGTTAGTAAGGCAGGACCTGATCAACAAGACTGGATTGTGTCCTGAGGCAATCTCTTGAGATATAAAAGACAGAAGTCAGCAGTGAGACAGCGGGACCTCATACCATCAAGAAAGCAGTGCCGGGAGCAGAGCGCATCCTTTGGACCGGGGTCCCTGCGCAGAGAAGCTCCTAGTCCGGGGGAATACTGAAGAGAAGAAGGCCGACAGAGAGAGAAAGCCTTCCCCTGGAGCTGACGCCCTGAATTTGGACTTTTAGCCTACTTTGACTATGAGGAAATAAACGTCTCTTCCTTCAAACCATCCACTTGTGGTATTTCTGTTGTAGCAGCACTAGATGACTAAAACAGAATTTGGTACCGGGAGTGGGGTGCTGCTCTAACAGATACCTAAAATGTGGAAGCGGTTTTAAAACTGTGAATGGATAGACGTGCGGCAGTGACAGAGGACCAGCAGCAGCAGAGGACCTACAGCAGAGAACCAACAGCAGCAGAACCAGGAGACCAGTGAAAGACAGCACTGGAGCCGACCCACGGAGTGAGAGAGCTGAGTGCCTGTGTGCAGGAGGCCTCCTGGCGGACTGGGGTGCCTCTGGGCACTTATCGGTGGAGCTAGGCTTGCCGACCCAGACCCACAGAGCGAGAGAGCTGAGTGTCTGTGTGCATGAGGCTTTCTGGCGGAGTGGGGTGCCTCCGGGCACTCATACCAGTGGAGCTACTGAGCTTTGGAACATTTGCCCCAGCAGGGCAGATGCGGGCGTGAGGCCCGAGGGCCGAGAGGCCATAGGAAGCAGAAGCTGAAGAGACAAGGGAC